AAGCCAGACGCTTAATCGACTGAGCACCCAGGCTCCCCGCAACGTTTTTTTAAAAAGGGAAATTGGCATACGGGGCAGGGGGTGGGGGGGTTGTCTCTCATTCTGGAACAAGGTCCAGGGCCCCGGAATCTTAACCAGAAGCCAGGACACCTGAGCTTCCTCACAGGCACTTGGGAAGTCCCTTTCCCCATTCTGAAACTCAATTCTCTTATTTATAAAATGAGGTATTTGGATCGAAGGGATTAAGGTCCTTTTCCACCAGAAATCCAGCCACACTCTTCCCAGTCTGCTCTGCATGCCCCTCTCCTGACTCCTAGGAGCTCAGACTCTAGCTCAGTGCTTGGGACAAGGATCTGCTTCCTTTCTCTTGGCTGCAGAGTCCCATCAAAGTACCCAAATACTAGTGTCCTCGGAGGAGAGACAGCAGAGCCTTGGGGTTCAAAGCAGCACCAGCTGGTTTGAATCTCGGCCCTGCCACTTTCTAGCTATGTGACAAAACACGTAATGTCTCCTCTGTCTGGAAGGTTAATACTAGTTTCTACCTCAGTGGATTGTTGTGAGAATTACATGAATTCCTGTTTATAAGACACTAAGAACAGTGCCTGGCACAGAGTAAGTGCTTTATAGTGGGCTTGTTGAATAAATAAGAGAAAATTTAGCAGTAAACTCTGGGTCTCTTCCTACTGCAACAGCTCCTTGACTGGCACCCCCAGCCTCTGGGATGAGGGAACAAAAGGCAAGCTGAGGACAAAGCAGAAGCTGACACCCCACAATCCCCCCCCCCATGGGATCTATGTGACATTCCTCAGGCACTCCTAAAGGAAAAACAAATAGTTAACTTATAGAGATCACAATCCTACAAGACGGGAGTCTCCCTCAGTTTACAAATGTCTTAGCACTCTACAAAAACAACGCATTCCTATCATCAATAACCTAGCTTCCAGAAGGAAATGTAGATAAAATTAAACGCCCTTATAACCTGCAGCCCATTGATAGATAATTGAAGCAGGCAGAGTGTAACGTTCCTCCCGGAAGCTACCAACTATCTTAATGTTAATGCCTTACTAGAGGGGTAAACAACCTTAACTTGACAATGGCAAGGCCTCCGGTATCTTGTAGGTCCTCTTTAGCATATGAAAGTTCTTTTGAAACCTCCCCCAACCCCATAGTATATAATCAACCACCCCTCACAATCCCCGGGCAGGGCAGCAGCTCTTTCTGCCCATGGGTCCTGTCCCCGTGCTTTAATAAACCACCATTTTGCACCAAAGGGGTCTCAAGACTTCTTTCTTAGTCGTGGGCTCCGGACTCCACCCCCATTGAACCTCACCTATATCCCCAAACCCCATCATCTGGATGCTTCCTCACTCCCTCCCAAAGCCCAGAGGTCTGAGCCCCAAATCCCTCTACTTAAAGGCCTCCTATGGCTCCCGGGTGCCTTCAGGACGTAGTAGGGATGCCTCAGCTTGAAGACCCAGGCTCTCCACACAGAACCTCCCTGAGGTCAGGAGATGCTGAAAACCACTTCCTTTTATTTATTCCAGTTAATTCAGAATAGACCAAAAATTAAAACAAAAAGGGTAAACAGGGCTACAAAAATTGTGGGGCATTTTTAACGTTATTTTGGGCAAAAGAAAGCATGAACATGCCCCAAACCCAATTAACCGTTAATTACGCTGTTCACAGGTAACCGCCAAGGGTTCGCACACTGTTATTTCAGGCCCCACAACCGTGGGGGCCCTGGCGAGGAGGCCGGGGGTTTATCAGACGGATCTGCGCTGGGTCGGGGCCCGGAGACTGGCAAGGGCGCCCGGGGCCTAAGGACCAGTCCCCTGGGGCAGCCTCGACCCCAGGACGGCCCCTCCCCACCCACCGGCGCGCCGAACCCCGCACCCAGGAGCGTCCGCAGAGACTGCGTCCCAGCTCGCAGGACCCCCGGGAGCCGTACCGCGAGTCGGGAAACTGAACGCCGCGAACCCTCCACGGAACCCGCGAGGGGGCGCGCCCGCCCTAATCCTCCCCAGCCGAGCCGGGTGGGAAGGCGGGGGCTCGCTCCCCGCGCCACGCGGCTCGACCAATGGGAGCGCGTGCAGCGGGGCTCCGCGGTCCGCGCCGCGGGTGCTGAAAACCCGGCGCGCGCAAGCGGGTCCGTTCTCCGCGCTCGCGAAGGCGGCGCGTTCTACCCCACGGGCCCGGAGCGCGCGCCTGACCGCCTCTGCCCGGATGGACTCCGAGACCGCTACCCAGGCGCCGACCCAGCGCTACTTCACGTGGGACGAGGTGGCGCAGCGCTCCGGGCACACGGCGGAGCGGTGGCTCGTGATCGATCGGAAGGTATACAACATCAGCGAGTTCTGCCGGCGGCACCCCGGGGGCTCCCGGGTCATCAGCCACTACGCGGGGCAGGATGCTACGGTGAGCGTTGCCCAACCGCGGCACGGGAGTGGGCGGGGCCGGGCGGCTGCCGCTGGAGGTTAAATGCTCCAGGCAGGAAGTTCGGCACCCACGGACGAACTCCCAACTGATTCGGGGGAGAAGCCAGTAGGCGTCGAGCATACCCGTTGCCCACGACTTAGCACGGGATGCAAGGGCAGGAGAATGGCTGTGAAAACTGGAATCAGGAGAGTGGGGATGGAGGCCGGCAGCGTGCCCACACAAACAAAGGACTGCGCGCCCGTGTGCGTGCGTTCCGTCTGTGGCCCCGTCTTTGGTAGCCAGACGTACGCAGACGTACCCCAGAGCAGGACAAGCAGGGAGGAAAGCCAGGATGCAGGCTGCCGGGGACGGCGGAGCGGCTGAGGCCGAGGGAGGAGGGGTCAGCGGCAGGAAGAGGGAGTCTCGACCTGTCTCGGTGGGTGCGAAGGGAGCGCAGCGGGCGTCTAGACTGCGCGTGCCGGCTTGCGAGTGGGAGCAGGAGAGGGAAGCGTTTTCGGGGATAGGGCCGAGGCGGGAAGCCAGCCAGTGCCCGCTGCCGTGGGAACCCCCGTACAGGGTGAAGGGGCGGCTGGGCGGGCAAGGCCAGAGCTTGCAGCGGTCACCACGACTGACCACTGGGAATCCGGGACTGCGGGGGAGAGCGAAGAGGTGGGCGCTCGCGCATGCGCAGACGAAGCAGGCACCGACGCAGGGTCTTCACGCAGTGTGATTTGGGGCCCGGGCTGGGGCCGGCCGCAACGGGGATAGCGATTGGTCCAGATGTGTGGTGCCACCGGCCGCCGGCTCCGCCCCGGCTCCCGCCTCTAGTGCCGCCTCCCCCTAAGGCCTGGGACCGCCTGACCTACCAAAACCGAAAGTAGCCACTCTGCGGCAGGGGGTGGTCATAGTCTTAGGGGAAATAATGGAACCCTACCAGGAACAGCGGCAGAGAGAAGGGGGAGAAATGGAAAAGTTACCAGTTCGGAGGTAGGGAGTCTTCCTACTCACATTTTATGACGAACGCTGGCTCAGAGGGGATCTGTTAAAAGTCCCATAGATAAAAACAGAAGTCTCAACAGCCCCACCCATCCCTTCTAGTTGTTTCTCACCTAGATCTTAAATTCTTGTGCAAGAGCTGTCCCTAGACACGCCTAGAGGACAGGCCAGCCTAGCGGACAGGCCAGCCCAGAGAAGTCTTTCCGTGGTCACCCCTACCCACACTTCTTACTCCTTGATGTGGTGCCGTTTTCACTAGAACACATGCTGGGTGTTCCTGAGATGTGCACACCTGGGAAAGGTCTAAGCACCCTCAAAGGTCAGCTGACTGGAGGGAAGTGGTATCTCTTTGAACTTGGATACAGCCTCCTTGCTGGATCAGGAGGATGGCCTCTGGTGTGAGCCCTCTAGGAGCCCCGGGGGCCCGGGCTGGCTTCCTAACCGCTCTGTCTTCTCCCTATCCTTGCAGGATCCCTTTGTGGCGTTCCACATCGACAAGGGCCTTGTGAGGAAGTATATGAACTCTCTCCTGATTGGAGAACTGTCTCCAGAGCAGCCCAGCTTTGAGCCCACTAAAAATGTGAGACTCTGCTGTTTGGAGACACTTTGATTGTTGAAGGGCAAGGGGGGGAGAAGGAAGGCCTAGATAAGATCAGAGTTGATCACAGTCAATAGTTCTTCTTTTTTTTTTTTTTAAGATTTATTTTATTTGAGAGAGAGAGAGCATGAATGGGATGAGGGGCAGAGAGAGAAATAGATTCCCCATTGAGCAGGGGCCCGATCCCGGGACTCTGGGACCATGATCTGAGCTGAAGGCAGACGCCTAATCAACTGAACCACCCAAGCGCCCACAGTCAGTAGTAGTTCTTGTGAAACCTTGAGGTCCCTGTTTCTCCCACAGTCACTGGGACACAGGCATAATGAGCAGGGCTTTGAAACCTATGGCTCTCACAAGGCCAACACCACCACTACCCTCATCAAGACCTATTTAAGCATGTACTCTGTGTCCGCCATAACCACATAGAACGCGTACACATTTACAGATGAGAAAGCTGAGGCTCAGGGAGGGTGAGCAATGTGGCCAAGAATCACACTGTTAGTAGATGGCGCAGCAGGGGCTTGAATCAAGTCTGTTTAACTCCAAAGACCACATGCTCTCAGGCATGATCCTTCAGCACGTCTTTCCTCAGTGTTGTGGTAGACTTACCTAGGATTATGGACTTCCCACAGCTATCTGGGGGTGGGGGTTTCTGGAGCCTAAGAGGGCCCCTGTGTCCAGCAGTGTTGGGTTACAGCTGGGAAGAATAACAGCCCCTCCCTCTCACTCTTCCACAGAAGGAGCTGATTGATGAGTTCCGAGAGCTGCGGGCCACAGTGGAGCGGATGGGGCTCATGAAGGCCAACCATGTCTTCTTCCTGTTGTACCTCCTGCACATCCTGCTGCTGGACGTAGCTGCCTGGCTCACTCTTTGGGTCTTTGGGACATCCCTTGTGCCCTTCCTCCTCTGTGCAGTGCTGCTCGGCACGGTTCAAGTGAGAGCTCTTGGCTAGTCAAGAGCACAGCCGTGCTCAGCATCCTTGCATCCTTGGGGAAAGCTCTCTGTATGCCTCAGAAGGCCAAGAAGCCCGGCCCTGTGACTGGGGCGGCACTGAGGATATGGGGAAGAGTTAGCGCACAGAGACATTTTATCATCTGTGCCTTTTACCTGCTCCTTAACCACATGCGCACCTTCACTTTGCTCACCCAAGTGTAGCCCAAGTTTGTCAAGAACCAAGATTCTGATTTCTCAGAAAAGCTTGGCTTTCTCCTCACCATCACATTGCCCAACATGCTAATAAGGCTTAGAACCTGATATCAGAACCCATTTGCCAAGCCTGCTACTCGCCTCTGAGTTTGTCACTCTGTCCTTTTTTGTAGTCTGGATATTCACTCCATCATAAGTCCTAGAACTCCAGAGAGTTCTATGGGAACTCTTCGAGGGAACTGAAGAACAGGGAAAGGATAGTGATTTGCCCCAACTCTTGCATGAGTTAGTGGCAGAGGTCCAGAGTTAGGACCCTGACTCCTTTCCTGACGTGCTCGAGGTACTGTGGCAATCACAGGGCTAGGCAGACGAAGGAAGGGGGTGAGGCAGGGACCCCCTGAGGTCACTGAGATGGAGCCTGAGCTGGTGGGCTGCTCTCAGCGCTAACTTTTCTCACTCAGGCCCAGGCCGGCTGGCTGCAGCATGACTTTGGGCACCTGTCTGTCTTCAGCACCTCCACCTGGAACCACCTGCTACATCATTTCGTGATTGGCCACCTGAAGGTCAGTGAGCTGGGGAGGGGCTCTTGAAACTCCAGTCAATGAAGGGTTTCCTTGGGGGGGGATGGGGGAATGCTAGGCTTTCATACTCATGTCCCTGCTTTTCTGTAGGGGGCCCCTGCCAGTTGGTGGAACCACATGCACTTCCAGCACCATGCCAAGCCCAACTGTTTAGGCAAAGACCCAGACATCAACATGCACCCCCTCTTCTTTGCCTTGGGGAAGATCCTCTCTGTGGAGGTGAGTAGAAATATCAATGGAAAGGTCTTGGGAGAATGGCAGCCAACCAGAAGAGAGGGCTCTGGGGAAAATGTTCACAATGCTGTCAGTGTGGGTGAGAGAGTGAGGCCAGGCTGGCTTGCTGGCAGTCGCCGGAGGCAACAGGCAATAAATAAGCTGCCCAGGATAGAATCACCTGTTATCCCTGGTGAGTGCAAGCCAACAGTTACTGCATAAACGTACCTCATGCTGCAAGGGATCCAAACAGTGACCAGATTACTGTGCAGATCTCTGCAAATCGAATGGATGGTCCTCCTTGGGGATGCTTTTTAGATATTCCTACCCCAGGCAGTCACCCCCACTGACACCTCCCACAACTCTGATATCCTACTGTGTGCAGTCTTCCCCATCAAGGGCTGGACCAACTGTCTTACTCTTCTTTGATGCCCAGGGCCTGGAACATTCATTCGCTGAGTAATTCTTCCCACCCATCTGACCCCAGCCTGACTTCCAGGGTGGTCAGTGTTGGGTTTGAGTTATCACCTGAGGTTATGAGCAAAAATTGTAATGCAGCTGCTAAAGGATGAATGCCTGAGAGTGGAGATCTGGAGAGCTTTTGGTGAACATAAGGCAATAGGAGACTTTGAATGGCCAATAGAGTTCTTTGTAAAGTTACTTTAAAACGTTCTGTGCCGGGGCGCCTGGGTGGCTCAGTCGTTAAGCATCTGCCTTCGGCTCAGGTCATGATCCCAGGGTACTGGGATCGAACCCCGCATCAGGCTCCCCGCTCCGCGGGAAGCCTGCTTCTCCCTCTCCCACTCCCCCTGCTTATGTTCCCTCTCTCGCTGTGTCTCTCTGTCAAATAAATAAAAATCTTTAAAATAAAAAAAATAATAAAAACACCTTCTGTGCCGAGGCTCTAGGCTGCAGTTAAGAGTCCCACCAGACCCCGCTCCCCGCACTGTATGATACTTCAGCGTGCCAAGAATTCAGACTGTTCCATCGTAGGCATGAGTGAGTGCAAGGTAGCCTGGCTGTCCTCCCCCTCTGGCCAGGAGGACTCTATGGAAAGGCTTTTACAGTGTTGGCTGTCCTGGCACCAGGAGCCCTTTGTTGAGGCTTATGCCCCACCTTTCCATAATGTCCTAATTTTCCTACCTCCTAAGCAAGGCCTTGGCTTGCTACACGTCCAACACTGTATAATGGTCAACAGTGTGCGGATGATGAATCAGCCCTGGCCCCACCTGTGTGGGTGATTTGTTAGGCAGAGCATCTAGTCCTTGGTAGCACTTCCGTCACTACAGAGGGTTAAAAAAAAAAAAAGGGTGGGAGTTTAAGTGGAAGAGAACCTTCTCACACCACTGCCTTTATTGTTTCTTGGTACTAGGGTTTTCAAGAAACTCCCATTTGCAGACACTAAAAACAGAAAGTGATCTAGGATCGATAGATATTTTTCTGTCTAGTTATGAGCCTGAGGATGGACTGCCTATTAGTAAATGCCTTGGCTGCAGGCTGCTTGGCCTTTGCTTCAGCCCCTCTGGGAGCTGATCCCCATGCTGACCCCGGGGCATCCACCTCAGTGCCTCCCGAGTCTCCTGGAGAACAAGAAAACGCAGGGGACACCTCACCCTAAATACAAACTTTATGGCTCTGTCCGAGAGTTGAAACACAATAGGGCCGTTATTAGGATCATAATAGCATCTGATTGCCATTCAAGGAGGCAGCAGTGGACAGGGCTCCCTTCCATAACAGTTCCAAAATAGGCCAGTGTCTTCCCACTCACCCCCACCAAACCTGACAGGTGCTCCTCGTCTGCTTTTCCCTGAAGAGGATGGGGGTGAACTTCACCCCAACATCCAGTTTATCAGCAAGCCTTGTTAATACTGTCTCTAAAACATCCCAAATCCATTGACTTCTCCATCTTCGTTGCTTCCCATTCCCCCCCCAATCCATCTTGGAGCCTGATTCCTGCTCCAGTCTCTTCCCTGGTCTCCCTGCAACTATACCTCCCCCCACTACAGTTCATTCCCTCCTGCAGGCTGAGTGGGCCTGTCCCAAGTGCAAAGCCGATAATGCTACACCTGTTGAAAGCCCTCCAGTGGCTTCTCATCACCACTGGAATAAAACCCAGGCTCGTTGCCAAGGTCTTCCTGGGGCTCTCTAAGGTCCACTGTGAATTGGCCTTCCCTAGTTGTCCAGCCTTATCAGTCCTTCTCCCCTGTTGCTTACTGTTCCCGGCCACACTGCCCGTTCTGTCCCTCAAACATCCTGCGCCTTTGTACTAGCTCTTCTCTCTGCATTAAATGCTCTTCCCCTGAATTCCTGCTTTGCTGGCTCCTTTTCATTCAGGTCTCAGTCCAGATGTCAGCAGCTCAGAGTGACCATTTCTGACCACCAGAGCCAAAACGCTGCCTCCCTCACTTTGTCCTATTTTCCTGTTTTTAATCTGTAATTACCATTAGTTCTGTTCACACGTTTGTCATCAGCTTCCTCTCTTCAAATTATAAGCTCCATGAGAGTAGGAACTTTTGTGTTGCTCACCTCTGTATCTTCAGCACCTAGAACAGTGCCTGGAACATAATAGGTGCTCAGTAAATACTTGTTGAATTTAATCAGTTAATACAGAAAGGATGCTTCATTTAGCAGAAATGCCTTGCACAGAATCAGTCAATCAGTCAATAAGAATAAATGTTATTGTCATTCCGATGCACAGAAGAAAGAGGGACTGGCGTTCCACTCGGGAGTGGAGTACCTCCTGTGCTCTGGGCTCATCCGGTTGCCAGAACTAACTCGGGCAAGAGGGGCAGAAGGAGCCACCAAGTGAGACAGCAGAGCTTTGCTGTCATGATTTTGGGTGCCCATGCGGGCATTCAGGCTGACTGATCTGACATCACCGGCCCATCTCTTCAGCAGCTAGGCTTATAAAATAATCACTACCCACTGGGAAAAGCCTTGCCAGAACCTTCAGATTGCCAAGTTGTTCTGTCCCTTTCCGCCAGTATATGCTAACTTCGCTTAGCATTCAGGGGATTTTATAAAGTTCATGTTGTAATCAAGAGACCAAAAGAGGGTCTGGATGGATGGATGGATGGATGGATGGATGGATGGATGGATGGATGGATGGAGAGGGAATACTGGCCTGTGTAGGTGTATAAATGGTTGTCTATGGTGAAAAAAGTACCAGATGGTTGGGGCGCGTCAGTGGCTCAGTTGGTTGAGCGTCCGACTCTTGATTTCGACTCAGGTCATGATCTCGGGGTCCTGGGATCGAGCCCCCAGTCAGGCTCTGGGCTTGGTGGGGAGTCTGCTTGGGATTCTCTCCCTCTCCCGCCTCCCCACTCACTCTAAAGTAAGTAAACAAATCTTAAAAAAAAAAAAAAGTACTAGTTGGGGAAAAGGGGAGAGGATGTGGAGGGGCCTGGAAACCTTAAGACAAAGGTGTCTTTGGATGACATGAGGAGTCCTGAGGACCTGCAGACTCTGCTGTGCTCATGCCTCGTGTGGGCACGGGCCACGGAGCTGTACACCAGGGTGTGTGCACCTGGCCGATCACAGCCTGGGTCTTCCTGCGCCAGTTGCTAGAGGTAAAGCCAGGCCTGCTGGAGCATTCTAACAGCACCAACAAGCTCAGCCGACAGCCCCTGGAGTAGGCCTAAACTCCTGAGCAGGGAAAAGCCAAGGTCACAGGGGGAAGGGAATGGGGTGACTGGTCTGTGGGTACTGATTTGTGTTTGCTTTTCTTCACAGCTTGGGAAACAGAAGAAAAAGTACATGCCATACAACCACCAGCACAAATACTTCTTCCTGAGTGAGTGTCCTTATCCAGCACAGGGGAACTCTCTTGGGATGGGGGTGCTGAAGGGATGTCAGGAAGAAATGACTTTCTTTTTTTTTTTAAAGATTTATTTATTTATTTGAGAGAGCGAGAATGAGAGAGAGTACATGAGAGGGGGGAGGGTCAGAGGGAGAAGCAGGCTCCTCGTTGAGCAGGGAGCCCGATGCGGGACTCGATCCAGGGACTCCAGGATCATGACCTGAGCCGAAGGCAGTCGCCCAACCAACTGAGCCACCCAGGCGCCCAGGAAGAAATGACTTTCTGAAGGATTATAGTATTTTAAGTAAAGGCTGCAGGAAGTACCCTGTCCCCGACTGGTTACTCCCTGCATGGGAGCAGACTACCATCTCAGTTGAGCAAAGTTACAGGCTAATATTTGGTCAAGGGTCATGTGTATCGGGGGCAGAGGAGTTCCTCCAGTTTCACCCTGGCTTCCACAAGAGCACTGAGCGGTCAGGTCCAGCCATCTTGATTAAACCTTAAACCTTGGGAAACAGACTTGGGCCAAGATGACTCTGTGGGTAGTCCAACACCCAGGGGCGTAAAGGCAGACATGGCTATGGGAGGACTGGACTCAAAAAGGAAGTGGAAAGGCTGTTAGAGCTGAAAAGGAGGATATTTCTGTGGTTGTCTTAAGCTCTCTCTGAAGGCTGTTCTATATTCCTTGCTTTTAAAATCTTCATAGTGCCTAAAATTTGAGTTTTCTAATTCCTTTAAAAATTCAAATTTTTAAAGGAAGGGAAAGGCGGATTCCATTGATCCCATTTTAGTTCAAAGGAATTTATCCTAACTGCCTATTATGAACCATCACTACTGGAGAAAGGGGATGGGTAGAAGGGTAGAGCAGAAATGTCTGGAAGAATTTTAGAATCCATGGCACATCAGGACAGAGGAGCCATAGGTGAGCACGGTCGTGCAGGGGGTTATAGGGAGCTTCAGGGCCCTGCAGAGAAGGGATACAGAAAAGGAAAGGGGACAGCATTAGGACGGGACCACTTCTTCAAATCCCTTCCCACACCTGCCCTCCAGGGCTTCAGGTTGGGAGGTACAAGGTCATTTCCCTAATCCAAAGAAGTAAGCTTTCAGCCCACTGAAGCATCAGCAGCACCCACCCCGCACCTCCCAACCCACACAAGCAAACTTTCCTGCTCCTGTCCCTTCGCCTGTAGGCAGAGCAGCCCAGAATGCAGGGCAGGTGACTGCAAGGACAGGCAGTGGCAGGCCAGGGAACACGGGGAGAATCCGCAGTGGCCTTCTAAAGGCATGGAGCTCGAGAATGGAAAAGAATGCCACTCCCACCCTCACCCTCCTGGCATCCTCTTGGGAGGTTTTGCCTTCTTCAGACTTGCACTCATGCCCACCTTCAGGGCCTGCCAGTTCCAATGGAGTGAGGAATGCCAAGGCAGCTGGAAGGGGCCACAGGAAGAGATGGCAAGGGGGCAGCCCCACGCCGGAGGCCACCTCTCAGGCACTGAACTGCCCTCATGCTGCTCACACTTCCTCCCTGTCTCCATTTCCTTCCTAGTTGGGCCCCCAGCCTTGCTGCCTCTCTACTTCCAGTGGTATATTTTCTATTTTGTTATTCAGCGGAAGAAGTGGGTGGTGAGTATCCATAGCCCCCAAGTTCCACATCCTTTGTCTTCAGAATCCTGAGGGAGGGGAATGGGGGTTCTCCAGAGGAAAGCTCACTGAGATTTACTCCAGGCCTAATTTAGAGCAAAGTTAATAGGACTGAGTATAGACCTTCCTTGTCTCTAGATGGGATGATCTGGACTCAGCAGACAGCCTGACTCCCAACGCCCTATTTCTTTTTTTTAAAAAGATTTTATTTATTCATTCATTCATTTATGAGAGAGCACGTACACACAGGCAGGGGGAAGGGCAGAGGGAGAGGGAATCTCTCAAGTAGACTTGGTGCTGAGCATAGAGCGCCAGGCTCAGTCCCACGACCCTGAGATCATGACCTGAGCCAAAACCAAGAGTCGGATGCTCAACTGACTGAGCCACCCAAACCTCCCCCCCTCCACCACCAATGGCCTATTTCATTCAGCTGGTACCTCCTGAGGTTCTTGTGCTTGTCATAAAGCCAGGAGCCAGGCTTGGGGGTGGGGAAGAGGTAGACGCAGAAGGTTCTAGGATTCCAAAAGGGTCTTGCCTGCCTCTGGCTGGATGAGAGGCATCAGAAAAGGCTTTGTGAAGTCAGTTTTGTAGCTGGGCCTTGGAGGATGGGCAAAGGTGGGGCTGGAGGGGGATGGACTCTGGGAAGTGAGGGGCAGTTTTGGCCACTTGGACATGTTGTGACTCGTGCCAGGGGAGAATTGTGGTGCAGAAGAAGTGCTTGATCAGGGCACTGGCACAGACCGAGCCTCTGTCCTGGAAGATTCATTTGGCAGCATGATGAAGGGATAAAGAACTTTGATGGGTTGGGAGGAGCTGGAGGCAGGGAGACCCTGTAGGCCTTGGCACCTGTGAAGGAAACAGGCAAGGAGGACTGGGGGCCGCCGCCAGGAACGGAAGGAAGGAGTGGGGTGGCATGAGATATTGCAGGACTGGGCAACGAAGAGAAGCTGACGGTGACAGAATGTTCCAGTCTGGGTCCCCGGCAGAGTGGCTGTACCATGCAAATAGGTGAAACGAAAGGAAGAGGAAGAAGTGCTTTGTGCCAGTCATCATGCTCTCTGCCTCTCAATGTAGGACTTGGCCTGGATGATCACCTTCTACGCCCGCCTCTTCCTCACCTACTGGCCGTTTTTGGGACTGAAAGGCGTCCTGGGCCTTTTCTTCCTGGTCAGGTAGTATTTGATGGGGAAGGAGGGATGGCAAAGAAAAGCTGATGTTTGGGAATAACGAGTCTGGTCTGGGGGCTGTGCTGGGGCTTTAGGCGGCAGGGGGTGTCCCAGGTGTTGGCCTGGGAAGATGGCCAGGCCAGAGGTTATCTGAGGCAGAAGAAGAGCTCTCACTTGTACTGTTTTTGTCTGTGTGCCATATCCACCAGGTTCCTGGAAAGTCACTGGTTTGTGTGGGTCACACAGATGAACCATATCCCCATGCGCATTGATCGCGACCGGAACATGGACTGGGTCTCCATCCAGGTAAGGGACAGTCACTTGGAAGACCTGGGGATGACACAACTAATGAAAAAGGCAGGTGGGCACAGATGCAGGCTAGGGGGTGGGCGTCCCCAAACAGCACTGCCTCATTAGCTTGAAGCTTCTCTCCTGCCACCATTTGGAGAAGGGAGTGACCAGGGACCGTCCCCCCCGACCCCCCAACCCCCCAACCCCAGCCGGCTTTGCCTGGAGACGGCTGGGTTGGCCTTTCTGTCTGGCACCCAGAGCCACGCTCTCCCTGCCCTCTTCCTCCAGCTCCACGCAACATGCAATGTCCACAAGTCTGCCTTCAATGACTGGTTCAGTGGACATCTCAACTTCCAGATTGAGCACCAGTAAGTAGGGAGACCTGAGAAGCAGGGTCCTTGGGAGGGTCCCTGTGGGGAAAGCGGGGAGGTGGAAAGAGCAGAGTAGGGGCCACTGACGGTCCCGTTCTCCCTGAAGTCTTTTCCCCACGATGCCTCGACACAATTACCATAAAGTGGCTCCCCTGGTGCAGTCCCTGTGTGCCAAGCACGGCATAGAGTACCAGTCCAAGCCCCTGCTCGCAGCCTTCGCCGACATTATCTAGTGAGTACCTGAGCCTGGGAACAGGGCCGGCAATGGGGCTGGTGCTGTGTGGGGTGGGAGCAACAGGCAGGGTCCCCCCGGAATGGAGGCCACCAAGACAAAGGCAGGGTGCTCTACTGGTTTTGCAGCCAAGTCAGGCCTTTGTTCTCAGTGCCATGGCCCAAGCTAGTTCTCAGAAGCCAACGGGAGGAAAGGGGCCATATGCCATGGCGATCAGCCTCCATTCCTCTGTAAGAGCCTCACTACACGTCTGTAGGGTGGTTTGGCTTTCGGGCCTGGCTCTGCGCGCGCGCTCGCTCTCTTTCTCTCTCTCACTCTCACTTCCTGCTCCCATCTTGCTCCCACAGCTCACTGAAGGAGTCTGGGCAGCTCTGGCTAGATGCCTATCTTCACCAGTAACAA